AAATACACCACAGCCAGATGCTCCATGGCCTTCGATCATACACTTGGTCTCTGCCAAGTTTCCTTGGACAGAGATTGGGCTACATCCAAAATAACATATATCCAACCCAAAGTATACAGGGGAAAGAGTGTAGGACCTGGAGTCAGGAGACACAAGATCTCTCTGAGTGGTCCTAGGCAAATATTTTCACTTCTGTGGACCCTAGCATGGCCCATAGGTTCAGTGATAGTCCCCATTTCAGGACACATCATGGCCTCCAAGTGAAAAAGTTATGTAACAGAGGTCTTCTGCTCTGGCTTGGCCAAGAGAATATTACTTCCAAACCAGGTCTTTGTGAGGGTTCGGGTGTAATTGGTCGTAAAGATAAGCTTTGTTCTCTAGAAAATCTCTAGCCCACAGTCAGAGTTTCTTCTGTTCTGTCCTACTAGAGACTAGGGAAAGATAAACACACTTGACTTTAACTTTCGCTTCTCTGAAAGTATTCACTGAAAGTCAGCCCACACATTATACCTATGGGAGCCTAAGGCTGAAAAGGGGAAGGGACTTGACTGTCTCACATACTGAGAGAGTTCTGGACACTTTAGGGCCTGGAATCAAGTCCCTTCCCCTGGCAAACTTTCTGCCATACCACATTGTTTAGGTCATTGGCACAAATGGGCTGGATTTGAGCAATAACCTAGGGGCTGAAATGAGTAGAAATTAAAATTCTGAATCCACTCAAAGCCAATTCCAAATAAACAATGTGTCTCCAAACCAAGACTACTCCTCCCCAGGTCAGATAAACCCCAAGGAAAATGTTGGGAATTAAATCTACTTCATGTAGAGGAGTCAAATGGATCCCTATCATTCCTCCTCACCAGCCACACGTTCTTTTTTTTTTTTACCTCAATAGATTTATTTAAAATGAATCTTTTTAAACATTACTTATCAATTAAAAAAACTTTTTCCAAATAATTCTGCAGCAAAAGAGAAAAAAACTTTTCTTATAATTATAAATTATTAATAAAATTATCAACAATGAATATTCTACCCCTTGAATTTATGGAATGAGAACTAAACTATTCTTTTTTTTTAAATTTTTATTGTTGGTTGTTCAAAACATTACATAGTTCTTGATATATCATATTTCACACTTTGATTCAAGTGGGTTATGAACTCCCATTTTTACCCCATATACAGATTGCAGACTCATATCAGTTACACATCCATTGATTTACATATTGCCATACTAGTGTCTGTTGTATTCTGCTGCCTTTCCTATCTTCTACTATCCCCCCTCCCTTCCCCTCCCCTCCCCTCTTCTCTCTCTACCCCCTCTACTCTAATTCATTTCTCCCCCTTGTATTATTTTTCCCTTTCCCCTCACTTCCTCTTGTATGTAATTTTGTATAACCCTGAGGGTCTCCTTCCATTTCCATGCAATTTCCCTTCTCTCTCCCTTTCCCTCCCACCTCTCATCCCTGTTTAATGTTAATCTTCTTCTCATGCTCTTCGTCCCTACTCTGTTCTTAGTTACTCTCCTTATATCAAAGAAGACATTTGGCATTTGTTTTTTAGGGATTGGCTAGCTTCACTTAGCATAATCTGCTCTAATGCCATCCATTTCCCTGAAAATTCTATGATTTTGTCATTTTTTAATGCAGAGTAATACTCCATTGTGTATAAATGCCACATTTTTTTATCCATTCGTCTATTGAAGGGCATCTAGGTTGGTTCCACAGTCTTGCTATTGTGAATTGTGCTGCTATGAATATCGAAATGTAGCAGTGTCCCTGTAGCATGCTCTTTTTAGGTCTTTAGGGAATAGACTGAGAAGGGGAATAGCTGGGTCAAATGGTGGTTCCATTCCCAGCTTTCCAAGAAATCTCCATACTGCTTTCCAAATTGGCTGCACCAATTTGCAGTCCCACCAGCAATGTTCAAGTGTACCCTTTTCCCCACATCCTCGCCAGCACTTGTTATTGTTTGACTTCATAATGGCTGCCAATCTTACTGGAGTGAGATGGTATCTTAGGGTGGTTTTGATTTGCATTTCTCTGACTGCTAGAGATGGTGAGCATTTTTTCATGTACTTGTTGATTGATTGTATGTCCTCCTCTGAGAAGTGTCTGTTCAGGTCCTTGGCCCATTTGTTGATTGGGTTATTTGTTATCTTATTGTCTAATTTTTTTAGTTCTTTGTATACTCTGGATATTAGGGCTCTATCTGAAGCAGCCACACCACATGTTCTTAAGACATTGCTGGTAATGACTTTGACTTGTATCATGACTTTGACAAGTATCAGGCCTGTTCTCCTAGCCTGAATGGAAATCACTTCTTGACTCCTTCCATAGCATTTTCTGAGTACTTACTAAGTGCCAAACCGTGTGTAAGTGGGGTGAATCTGCAATGCCTAAGACACATGTCTGTCCTTGACGAAGGCAGCCAAGCAGGAAGGTTACAGATGACTAATAACCATGATGCAATGGCAAGAGCTCCCCCACCCTCGACCTAGACCTGCTCTTCTAGGGCACAGTCTGGCTAGACCAGATCTCAAAGGTAGAAGCAACAGGAGATCAAGTTCCTCTAGGGGCTACCACCCCACCCACCAGCAGCGTTCTCCCCTAGGAAGAAAGACACCTGACTTCTCTATCCCTAGCATCACACATCCAGTAATACTCATTTATACATGGTGAGGGAAAGGTGCACTGACAGCATCATAAATACTTATCATCAAGCTTCTACTGTGTATAAAGCATGGAAATATGAAAAAAATGGGGGGAAACAAAGAACAATTCAACAGCCAGTTCCTGCTATCCCAAAGTTTAAAAATTGAATTATAATTCCTAAAAATCAGAGGCATATTTAAAAAAAAGAAAGAAAAAAAATTAGTTTAAGAATTAGACCCCTGGATCTTGGTCCTTCCTATGTGACCTTGGGCAGGATATCACCCCTTGTGGGACAGGTTCAAAGCATGCCTTACAGAATTGGTGCTGGCTAATGTCAATGTTCTTGATTTTTTTTTTCCTTGAAAGTTTGGGCTTTCAGCCAAGCACAGTGGTGCATGTCTATATGGGGAGGCTAAGGCAGGAGGATCATGAGTTCAAGGTCAACCTTAGTAACTTACACAGACCCTAAGCAACTCAGAGAGACTCTGTCTCTAAATAAAATATTTAAAAGGCTGGGGATGTGGTTCAGTGGTTAAGATCCTCTGGGTTCAATCCCAGGTACCAAAATTAAAAAATAAGTTTGGGCTTTCAGAGGTTAGAGGGTGTAGCTCAATGGTAGAACACTTGACGAGCATGTGTAAGGAGGCCCTGGATCAATCCTCAACTCCTAAAAAAATAATAATAATAATAACAGTTGGGCTTTCAGGTGATTTAAGAACTGAACAAGTTTTTTGGAAAGGAGAAGAAATGATAGGAGAAGCAAGAGAGAAAAGATGAGTTAACAGAAGGAAATGGATAGAAGAGAGATGAGGATAGAGACAGAAAAGAAGGCTATCAGAAGGGCCACTGTTTATGGGACTTAGAAATAAGAACCTTTGCTGGTACAAGAGAGAAGAGGGAACAAGTGCCAAACTCCAGGGACACCTAGTAATTCAAATCACCAAAATGGTGGTTAGTCAAAGTTGCTCAAACTGGGTCACTTCTGAGCTGGCAGTAGGGATTCGGTCCCAGGAACCCAGGGTTCTAAACAGGGGAGCCAGCAGGAATCAAAAAGGCCCTGGCTAACAATAAAGCCAATCCAGATGTGGCTGTGTGCAAAAAACCTCCTGCACGCCTGGGGCCTTGCGTAGTTTCCATGTGTCTGATTCGGCCCCTGGCCTCAGCTCCTGGCCCCAGCAGTCCACGCACATTTCTTGCTCTGTCATGCATTACTTACCAGCAGATGCTGAGGTTACTGATGCCTGCCACACAGAGGAAACAGGTCTGCTTATTAAATTACTAAATCCTGTTAGAAAAGAGGGCAACTTACTCCTAATAGAATTTTTATGTTTCTCCTGATCCTCAATGACTCCAATGAGATGTTTAAATCTCCATTGTGTAGCCACGGATAGATTCTCCAGCCAGTTTACATTCCTTTCACCAGCAGAACCCTCAAACATAGCTGTGTCCCCTGGGAAAGAATTTTGCTTTCTTAGTATAACAGAGCCCTTCTAATTTGTTTAAAATCTTCTGGGCTGCTGAGTGTGGGGCAGCAAGAGGCACATTTTCTTTAAAGAAGGGGATGCGTGTGCGTGGAGAGGTTGTTCTCTGAAGCAATCATCGTCAAGAGGGTCTGCCGTACTAGAGTTCATACCATCCTACTCCTCCCTCCTTCCTCTCCACATACATAGCAAATTGTAGAGACTAATTTGTCTGTGCAAAGAGGCTGACAAACTCCTGCTCCGTGGCCTCATGCTGCCACCTCTGCAACAATCTCTCCTGCCGCTGGAAGTCCCTCCCTCGTTCACCACCAGGCAGTCAATGCTGCACTGTTGGACACGGAGGATTAGTTAGGCTGGGAAAGAATGTGCAAAGTGTCTCACTGCATTTAAAGTACCAGCAGGTCATGTAAAGGAGAAACTCAGGAAGTAAGAGCTAAATTGGATGAGTACACCAGACTGCAGGTGCTTTCTGGAATATATATTTCATTGACTACTTAGCTTTGCTTTTGTCACACCACTCTTATTCTTTGGAGTGCTGAAGCAAATTAGTTTATAGGTTTTTTTTTTTTTCTTCTTTTAGTTCGAAGCATCTCTTCTTACTCTGGTACAGTCCCTGGCAGACTGAGATGCAACAAGAGGTGAATCGTGTATCACCTTCACATCTCTTCTAGAATTACATCTGTCAAGAGCCCCAGTGTGCAGTAGAGATAGGAACCAAAAAGCAGAGGACAGAAGAGGAGAGAGGGAGAGTACTAGGGGCCAGGGAAGAAGAGAGCTGGTTAGTTTGCAGTCTGTTTTCCTTCTTCTTCCTTCTCCTTGAATCCCTCCTTTCTATTTATAAATCGTATCAGAGGAAAAATCAGACTTTAAAGACAGTTGACTTATATTTATTGATGGTGTTGATTTAAATGCAATTTGTCTGAGCTTTTTGACCAATTACCATACCCGCATTCACCATAGATGAAAACCAACCTTGGCATTCTCAACAGACACATAAATTGGATAAGAATGAGGCAGACACAGCCTGCTCAGCTCCCAAGTATCAGCCATATTATATCCACGGTTTGTGGTCTTCACAAGTTTTGAACAGCAGAGGAGTTGGCAATGTGTGGAAATAATTGGAAATGTGAGATATAGTCCTACAAGATGATGATGGCCCACACAGCTATCTGCTGATGTGGAAGGCCACATCAATGTGGGTGTGCAGGTAGACTTGGCTTTGACCTTCCTGATCTCTACTAGGCATTTAGAAGTATGGTCCAAGTTGGGCATGGTGGCGTAACCTGTAATCCCAGTCACTCAGGAGACTGAGGCAGGCAATACAAGTTGGAGGCCAGCCTCAGCACTTAGCAAGACCCTGTTTCAAAATAAAATAAAATAAAAAGGGCCAGGGATGTAGCTCTGTGGTAGAGCACCTCTGGATTTAATCTCCAGTACCACAAATAAATAAATTAATTAAATTAAATAAATCGCCACTCAAGGATATATATCTCAGGTATTCAGGGAGAGGAATAGGAACTCTTCCAAAACAAATAAAACAGTTTCAAAGGCCTGGCCCATATCCCAAGGTCCTTAAGAAGACACTAAATATTTTTTTTAATAAAATCAGCATACTATAGTAATGCAGCCATGTCAATGTTTATAGCAGCTCAATTCACAATAGCTAAACTATGGAACCAACCTAAGTGTCCCTCAATACATGAATTAATAAAGAAAATGTGGTAGATATACTCAATGGAATATTACTCAGCTTTAAAGAAGAGTGAAATTATGGCATTTGCCAGTAAATGGATGGAGTTGGAGAATATCATGCTAAGCAAAATAAGCCAATCCCACAAAACCTGAACGCTTTCTCTAATATGTGGATGCTAATTCACAGTAAGGTGGGGGGCACTAGGAAGAATAGCATTACCTTAGATTAGGTAGAGGGAAGTGATGGGAGAGGAGAGAGGGGATGTGGGAATAGGAAAGACAGTAGAATGAAATAGACATTATTACTGTATGTATATATGTAACTACATGACCAATATGATTCTGCAACATGTACACTCAGAAAAATGAGAAATTATATCCCATCTATGAATGGTATATCAAAGTGCATAAATGCATTCTACTGTCATGTATAACTAATTAAAACAAATAAAAAATTTTTTAAAATTTTTCCCACCTATTCCCTTGGTGTTTTTCTTTTTCCAAAGACAGTCTTATTCTTGAACCACTCCCACTAATTAGGGGGAAAAAAATCTTTCACCCTCCCTTCCTCTCTGGTTTCTGTGAATTCCAGACTCCTTGGGATCTCTGGTTCTAACTGCTCAGAACACATTTATGACAAAAACAAAGCAAAACATCAGGGAAGGCAGAGTGGGGGGGGGGGGCAGATCCATTTCTATAACAAAGGAGGCCCAAAAGGGCAAAGGGGAAAAATAAATTGCAGAAGGCACAGTTGTGGCAGCATCTTATTACAACTTCCAGCTGATCGGGTGTAGCCCAACTAGAGACATCTGTTGGGAGTTTACAACAGAAACAAACGCACAGGAAAAAATGAAAACCCTATAACACATACCCAGACCAAGCTCTCTAACAGCCCCTCTGCCTTGCCCTCCATACCATTCCCACTGGGCCAGGCTGGGTTGTAGAGGGGAAGGAAACGGGCTCTGCAAGCCGCTACCCACCCCCACCCCACCTGCACATGACTCATTCACACATGATTGGAACTTACAACTTTTCTCTCTACTTGGTTTTCCTCCCAGGAAAAGCAGAGACTGCCCCACTCCTCGGAGAGCCCATGGCAACTTCCTTTAGGTCTGGAATTCATTTCTAAAACTCCTTGAATGTAAGGGAATAGATCAGGCAGTATCCTTATTCTTGATCATTAAGACAACCCACAGAAGAGGTGGCAAAACCTTAGCAGACCTTGTCACTCCTCCACACATAGCCTCTCAGGTCTGAAAGTGGGAAATGGAGCTCACCCTGACCTCTCCGAAAATTAGCTCAAAAAGGTGAGGGAAAGCCCATGCTCAAACAATTTAAATGAAGAATATGGAACACTGTTGGGTCCCAGACACAGCACCGAGAGTTGTGTCGTCCAGAAAGGCCCAAGACCATGCACAACTTAGATCTGAGCACCCCCTGTAGCAGTTCCAGATGCTCACCTGTTCTGTTAAATTTTCCTATTTATTCTCTTCCCCATGGCATGCCAACAGAACCAGAGCAGTGCTACTCAAAAAATAACAAAATGTTTTATACACATTTCCATATATACAACTGAACAACATTTTACATGTTTCTTTTGCACAGCAAAAGTTATAAACATTCAGCTCTGAGAACACAGTTATGTACAAAAAATGTCAAAAATACTTCACAACAGTGCAAAAATATTTTACACAGCATCATGGAGTGAGATATTTGGGCCAGGAGGAAGGTGTATGTGACTCTAAAGGAGAACTCTTTTTTAGACATTAGATGTCTTTAACTGTAAACAAAATGCCGCTTTCTTTCATAACACCCCCCCCCCAATAGTTATTTGAGGAATTTGGCAGAATTTCAAGAGTCTGAGTCTGAGGTAAACAGCCCAAGCTCTCTCACCAAAAAGAACTGGGTGCAAAAGAGTGGTATTTAAACCTTAAACATTGTGAGATTTTTTTTTTTAATGATATCTCAATGACAGGGCAAGGCCTCGCCCAGTGAGGGGTTGAGGGAGGAAGTTAACCCCTCCTCCTCAGGCCCCAGCTGCTTAGCAAACAGGAAACTGGCGGACAGGCACCTCACACTGCCCTCCTGGACTATTTGAACTTCAGGGGCCCTTCTCTTCACCACCACCAAGAAGACTACCCCTTTCTCCTCCGTAGGGTTTTCTCTTTCACATCTCCCACATCCCCACTCGCAACCAGAGCCGCCTCCAAAAGAGCAAAAAGTGTTAGGGCGCGGGGTGGATGGGGAGGACCATAGGGAACCCAGGACCAGGGCCCCACGTGCCCGATTTCCTTTGGATGCAGGCGGGGAATAGGGAGATTGCTAGAACGACGGTTGGGGAGCCACTGTGGGGTGCCAGGGGAGCACCGAGGAGTCTGCTGGGAGCTCAACCCGAGTGGGGCTCGTCCGGGCTGGAGCTGTCTGCGGAACCAGACTTGTTCCCAGCAGTGGTGGAGGTTGCGTCCGGGCCTCCGCCCTCGATGGAGCTCTCACTGCCAGTGCTCTCGCCCGACAGCAGGCGCGTCACCCTCAAGTCTGCCTGCAGGGTGCGCACATCGTTGCCGAAACTGAGCTCTCCCAGGTCGTTAATAAGCTGCGACAGCTGAGCCTTCACGTCTGAGGCGCTGCACGACAGCGGAGGTGGAGTCCCCAGCCCAGGGCCCAGCGAGACGACGCCGCCCCCCAGCATCTCCTCGCGCCCATTCTCCATGGTGTCTAGCAAGTCCCCACATTCGAAGTGCATGGCCACCACCAGTGCCCTCTGTGCCTCGGTCTCCTCTTCTGCTGGGCCCTCCACCCCCACACGATTCTCCTCCTCCTCCTCCTCCTCCTCTTCCTCCAGGCAGCCCTCGGGGTGCTCCTCTTCCTCTTCCTCCTGTAGCTCCTGCTCCTGCTGTTCGCCCAGCAGGTCCTCGGTGATGGAGCCGAGCTTGGGCGCGCTGCGGCTCCGCTCCACCGGCGGTTTATAGCAGCAAGATCCGTGCAGGAGCAGTTTGCGCAGGGGCACTAGCGGGATAGTGTGCGCACCCACCAGCTCCTGCTGCTGGTGACGCGCGTCGTCCCGCCGCTTGAGGCGTTTAAATTCCGCCAAAGCGTTGGCCGAAGTCTGGTAGAGCAGCAGGGCCATGGCCTGCGCCTTCTCCGGCTTAGACACCAGAACGGCATGGCAGCGCAGCATTACCGCCTTGTGCTTCAGCTCATGCCGGTACACCCAGGCGAAGACCTTGGGTAGCCGCGCGTCTGCCACGCAGTAGGTGACGCGGTGCAGCAGGTAGAGGTGGCCCGGGCGGCGCAGCGCGCGCTCTTCAGCGTGCACCATACGGATACCTTGTGCACTCACCGTGAGCTTCATCTTGGTACCCTGACGGCCCGCCTCGCTTTTACTCCAGATCTTACCTACGGCTAGGTCGGTGCAGCCGTCGCCGCGCGCCTGAATGGTGGTGGCATTGCCCAGGTAGAGCACGGTGTATGTGGGGTCCTCGCTGGTAATGTGCAGCTTCTTGCGCTTGGAGCGGAACATGCTTCCCACCCGACTGAGCGCGCCTTCGGGGCACGCTCTCGCTAGCGAGCTGAGCGCTGAGTAGTGCAGGCTCACAGCGTAGCCTTTGGGTTTGGACGTCTGCCGCGGCGGCGCTTCGGCCAGCAGCTCGAACTTGTGCTTCTTCCAGGGCAGCATCTCTGGAGGGCACCCGGGCGCAGCTGGGCGGCGGCGGCCGAGCCCCGGGTCTGAACCCAGCTGAGCCACCAGCCCCGGCCGGGCTTGGCCCGGGCAAGACCGAAAGATAAAACTGCTGGGAGCCGGCCAGTGGTAGGAAGAGGGGGGCAGGGAAGAACGGATAGTGCTTGGGATCCCCGCAGGGGGTGGGGAAGAATTGTTAAAGGAAAATATTCAGCTTCGAGTTTGTAAGGGGTGGAGGCGCACACACAGAGAATTACCCCAGCCTGGTGAAGGACGAGGGCAAAAAGTCTCAGGCAAGCAACACAACGAGAGAAAAGGGAAGGAGAGTGGAGCGGAAAATGTCAGAAGAAAAGCGAGATGCGCGCATACAAATAAATAGAGGGAGCCTCGGCAAAAGCAACGGGGTGGTGCGGGAATCTGCAGGAACTCCGGCCAACGTGAACAGGGCCCCCTGCCACATACACACAAACCCCGGGCCTGGGGCCAGAAGCCGCGGAAACTCTTCAGCAGTTTGCCCAGGGTCCAGGGCTCCCCACCTACTAGGGGTGCTGGAGACCGAGAACCTCTCAGCTGAGCAAGTCCTGGAATCAGTAGCGAGCCCAAAGTGTGGTTAGATGATAGGTCCGGCTGGCCTCGGCGGGCCCCGCGCAGCAGTCCCGCGGTGGCTCACTGCATCTTCGCTCCAGCGGGATGCCGGGGACTCACGCTCCGCCAGCTCACTGTCCAGACCAGCTCCACCACCGCAGCATTGGGCTCCAAGGTCGGGGCGCACGCATGGTCGGCTTCGGGGATCGCCGCTACCTCATTTCTTCTCTCCGAGGATTGTCCAACTCCACTCCCGGGCTCTCCACGGTCGGCTGCTGGTCTTTGCAGCGCGCCCTCTTCAGTCCTGCAAGCGGTGGCAGGCTGCCCTCACATCATTGCTGTCAGGGAAGGAAGATCTCGGGTAAATATAGGCCGGCACGAACCATTCGCAGCGCAGGGACAGGGGAGGAGCAGAGAAGACGATCAGTTTCGAGCTGCGACGCCCGACGGTTTTCTGGTCTCTTAAAGGGACAAGGTTGCACGCATTGGTCGAGAGAAAGAGAAGACAGATCCAATCTGGCAACTATGCCTCAAATTTAGCAGTATCTCATTTATATACAGAAACCACGAATAACTGGGGTTACCCCGCAGCAAAAGGAACTTGATCTCTCACACTCCACCCCCACGGTGAATTGCAACTCACTGAATAAATGTACGTCTAGATCGAAACTTCTGGGGGAGGTAGTGGAAGTGGAAATTGTGAACTATAATTTCCTGTGGAAATGGCTGGGAAAATAGTCCCCTTCCCCTTGTGAGACAGCTCTCTCAGAATCTCAAGGTGCCATTTAATATTATTTTCAGAATTAATAATTAATTAATAATAAAACAGAGAGGCAAGTTACTTGGAGCCAGTTACTTACAGGTAAACAGCTGATAGTGAAGTGAGTGGTAAGATGACTAGAGCGAACAATATTGAATACAGTTAATAAATTAGGTGCTTCCTAACATCCTCCTCCAGCAATAACCCTTCCTGCCCTCAAAGTAGAGCACTTTTCTGAGATAGGTATAATTTTAAGTAATGCTGTATATGGTTAGACCTCAGTTTACTTTGGCAGGCCTGTCATTCAGTTTTATTATAGCATTGACACATTCTGAATGAGAATTCCTAGTAAAAATTCTAATGAGTGTTAAATATCCTCCAATGGGAGTGATGATTGCATCATTATTTTTCTCATTTGCCAACTGGACATTGTAGTTTTAGTCATCTGACCAGCTTGACCCTTGGCTAATAGCTCATTTCTAGGTCCTTGAAACAACCCACTTGCCTCTATGGTTTGTTCATCCAAAGCAAAAAACGTCTTCTAGATGGAATGTGTGATAAATGTCCAGATGGTCCTGCAACAAACTCCCTGCCTCCTCATGGAGGCTGACAGTGGTCTCTCTTCTTAGGCTCAGACCACTGGGGATCTTGGATTTTCATTTAAGAACCACTGAGGCTCCTGGAAATTCCCTGGCCCTACATTTGCTATCTTTTAACCTTTCTTTGAATTCTAACCCAGGTTTATCAGAGTCATGGGTATTGAATTACCTTTTGGTGACAGGTCCTGAGCTAGGAGTAGACCCAAATCCCATTCCCAAGAAGCTCCTGGTCCAAAGAAGGATGTAAATGCCACTAAACTCTGTCTGAGCTTCCCCTGCAAGGTAGGTTTTATGGTACCCTGTGTCCTCTGTGACTAGTACAAAGAGACAATAAATGTTTGTTGTTTTTATGAATGAGACATGCATGTGAATAAGAAGACAGACTGATCTAAATGCCTTCAGAAAGACCGACATGCTTGGAGAAGCTGATAAGAAAAGGTTCATTATGACAAGGAAAATCAGAAAAGACTCCATGGAGGTGGTGATGTTTGAAAGATGAACAGGATTTCTCAAAATAACAAAGGATTGGAGGTCTTTCTGGGTATACAAGATGGCAAAATTATAGAAGTATGTAAAAGCATGTACATGTGCAGAGTAGGATGGAATTCAATGACTGTAACAATGAAAGAAAAACTTTCCTCATAATGCTTTTTGGGCCCTCTTATTCTCTGTACTCTTGGAAGGAAGGAATGGCCCTCTCACACCAGCTGGCCCTATGACCTTCTACCAGAGCCATCATGCCTTACTCCTCAGCTGCCCTGATGGGTTAATGGAAGGATGCCAGACATGGCACCAGAATGAGGTGGGACTGTTATACACCATTAAACCAACATTAATTTCTCTTCTCTCGGATTTCTGAAATATCTTGCAGTGTCAGTGAAGTAGACAGTAACTTTTCCAAAGCGAAAAAAATTTCTGAAAGAAACACATCAAATTAACCTGTGCTAAGTGATCTTTAGCTGGTCTATAATCTTGAAATCAAAACTCCACAAAAGCAGACATTGTACTTAAGCGGTAGGCATTTCTAACTGTCTCAGAGGACCAAGGGCCAGAAGGTTCTGGAAGGGGAAAAGAGGAGCAGTAGTGAAATTTAAGGCTGATTTCATTCTCTGCAGGAGGCACCACTGTGGGATTTATATGATTAAAAAGACAGAGCAGGGAATTACAGTGGCAGGGAGGCATCCACAGGCCAACTGGGCCAGTCCCAGATGTACAGGTCCACAGAGATGTTCCTGGTGACTAGATCATGTCCTGCCTCAACTGCCTTTTTAATACAAGAGAGGTTATTAACCTCGGAAGAACAGAAAGGTTCTAGGCAAATGTGTGAGTTATGCCTTCTACCTGTGCTCCAAGACCCAGGAGGGAAACGGGACAGGCTCCTCCTGGCCTGAGCCTGGACCAACCAACCTCTGGAGCCTACCTTATCTTGTGAAGAAGCTGGCCACCCCCATTCCACTGAAGACATAAGTCACAACTGAAGCTGCGTTTCCTCAGCTGGGAAAGCTGAGGGCACTGTTTATGAGATCTGAGACACAGGGCTCTTCCAGAACTGAACCACAGCAAAGTCAGGTGAGAAATGGGTCAGACTGCAGACTGTACTTTTTGTGAAACTGCCCCATCTACTGGTGACAGGCAGAAGTACCAGTTGATGGGAAAGTTTCTCATAAAACTGTGCAAGCCAGTATTTGAATCAATGCACCTACCGCCACGTCACAGCTGGAAGGAAATGCTGCCACAAGGAGTCCCAGACCACAGTTTGGCATTGAAGAGTCAGCTTTTTATCTCACAAAAGGCTTTTGGACCCACTTTCTGCCACTTTAAGTGGTGCTGTATGCTTCTCCCCCAACATCCTATAGAATGGACATTGACTTCAGAGCTGACAAATGACAAATCTGGAAATTTCAAAGTCGTTCAACAAATATTTGTTGAGAATCTACAGGGAATGTTGATGTCGTTTCTGAGAATAGAACTGTAAAGAAGACAGAGATGTTTGCCTTCATGGGATTTATAGCCCATAGGGAGGCAGAGAATCAACAAACAACTAATAAAATATCAGATGGTGATAAGGTGAAAGGAAACAGTGCTAAGGATGGAAGGCGGCTGGTTTAGAAGTGTAGTCTGGAAGGTGTCTCTCTGGGCAGAGCTCTAGAAGAGCCTGAGCCAGGCGCACAGAGACAGGGGAAAGTGCTCTGGCCTGTGCTGGCCAGTGGGGTCATCACAGTGATGGTGACAGATAAACTTCACTCTAAGTACTCCAGAGTCTCAGAAGGAAAAAGAAGGTCTAGCAAACAGTGAAGAGACCAGAGACCCCTTTGTGGCAGGATGTACTTCATGCTAAGCATTGAAAGCTGGTGGGGGGGGGGGCAGATTGCTGTTGCCAGATGGGAGAAAGAAGCCCAGAGAGAAAACTGCTCCTGCAGAAAGTAGTTCATATGGAACACTAAATGACAGGGCAAAAGCAGGAAACTCAAGTGTACTAAGCACCTGCATATGTCAGACGCTGTGCCAAGTGAGGTGTGCTCCAATCTCTTCCTTTTACAGAGAGAAAGGAGTAGGCATGGAGGAGTTGAATAACTTACCCAAGGTCCCCAAAGCACCATTCTTTTTTGTGCTTCGGTCTGGCAGAGGCCTGCCTCCCTAGCACCTTCAGTGGCAGGTGAAGGCTTTTTCCACACTGGGGGGCACTAGAGCAGCTGGAGCAGGGAAGCACTGGGATCAGAGGCAAAGCTCTAAGCAGCCCTAACACACTGGGGGTCCCAGAACAGGCTGCTGCCCCCTCTCAGGGCATTTGCTTCCCTGTGAGCTGTGCAAATTCCTTTTAGTTCTAAAGATTGCAGGAAGCTCTGTTCATTTCCTGGGACTTCCATAACTAATTACCTTGAAGAGAGGGGGCTTAAAACCACAGAACTGTGTCCTCTCACAGGAAGAACCTCCCTGCTTCTTCCCAGAGCCCCGTGATTGCCTGTAGTTCTGGACATTCCTTGGCTTATAGACATTTCCCCGTGGGCTCTGCCTCCGTGTTCATGTGGTGTTCTCCCTATGTTCTGTTTTTTTCAAATTTGCCTCTTCTAAGGACAGGGGTCGTGGCATGAGGCACCACTCTAATCACAGTAATCTCTTCTTTCCTTGATTACATCTATAACGCTTATTCAAATAAGATCACACCAACAGCCCTGGGGGTTAGGACTTCTCTTTTTGAGGGATACCACTCAACTCAAAACAGGGGCTATGGCAGGAAACTGCAGGAGTCAAGGAGGAACAAGGTTAGAAGTCCACAATCTCCTATCCTTACTCCTATCCTTGGTATGCACCCCCGGAAATGTGCTTGCTGTGCCCCTTACAGTGGAGCCTCTCCTTTTCTGGGCTGCTTGCTCAGAATGTTTGCCACAAGGACAAAGGCAAAATGCAGAAATGCAAAGGCACAGAAGGAAACCAAAAGAAGGGAAGCCACAAGCCTATGAGAGCCTTCTCATCACTGCCACCAAAGGGGCCAGGAAACAACTAGAGGAGCTTGTCCCCTCTGAAGGTAGAGGGAGGAAAAATCATTACCTCTGCATGGTTAGCTTTAAAGCAGAAACCCTGTGGCTTTTATTTATAAAGTGTTTATTTTTGACATTTCCATTTGTGACAATGGTAACTGATGATGAATGCATCTTCTACATGGTGGTTCACAGAACCCTCAACCCTCTCATGACAGAAAGGGCAAGGTGTAGTCTTCTCCTTGAGTTGCATGATAAAGGCACTGGCCTGCTCTTGCCAACCTAGGCACCCTTTGTGAGGCTGTCAGTATTGTCCCTGCTGTTTCAGATACCTGGGTGAAAGGCAGGGTAGCGTGAAGAAGAAGGGGAGGTATCAGGGTCAAGGGTCTTGCAGAGCACCTCAATGGTCATTCATCCAACACCCACTCTCTTGCATTAACCTCCCTTAGAACATCTTGACACCTGGTTAGGTAGCCTTCGATTCAACACCCGGGACTAGCAGATGGAATGTCC